CCCGTGGTTACTACTGTGTCTGAGCTCAGATAATTGTTCTTACCTTTATTCCGAAGATGAGTTAAACTGTATAGATTTTCTTCCCTCGATTCTTCCTCAATGGGATGACTTTCTCTGGAATGACTATTGACCTCAAAATTAATAATAATAGAAGGCAGCCATTTTAGATTTGAAGTCTCGCAAAATCTCGTCCAGTGACGTTTGCTCTGTTCTTTGATATATATAACTTGTCCGTGTTACTACACTGTATTCCGTGGCAGTTTTAGCAGGTTTTGAACTCGTAATTTATATTAGAATATTAAGACTGAGTTTACGTTTTTGTGTTATTAGAGACATTAAGATGCGCATACGAGAACGGATACGTCACTGCTTTGTGCATGACCTCCGCGCGAACCAATGACGTCATCGGTTGCCTGGTCGTTCGGCAGTCCTTTTGAACGTGATCAAGGTGACTGACTCGTAGTTGATTTCCGAGAGCTTTTCTCGCTGTCAATTTTGAATAATTTTCATTGACATTGATAAAACGTTTTATATTAGAATGTTTTTGAATATTTATGATGAAATAAGAAATATTGGATGTATTTTAGCTGACATTTATACCCACTGAAAACGCATGATATTGTTCTGCGAAAGAGGATTCGGCAAACAGGCCTAGGACCTCAGCAGTGTGGATGGAAATAGTGAGAGCTCTGTCAAATGTCTGTGAACTAACTACTAATTCTGATTCCGGACGTGAAATGACATAACAAATTTTATTAGGTAGTTATTGTTGCCCAATGAGAGACGGATTGACATGGTTCTGGTTTCAGTTACGTTCCCGTTGTGGGCGCTTGTACTTAATCGTTTTCTGACACCCGAGAACGTAACGCAAACGAAATTAGAACACTACGTTACGTTCCCGTTACGTACGCAAATCTTAAACTCTCTAGTGAGTTCAGCTATATGTGCGCCCTCAGTGAAGCTCTCGAACCATTTTATAGTATCGAGATATTGTTGCTATCCAAAACAAAATGGCGGACTACGACGACGACGTCGGTGGTAAGTATTTACATTTGTAAACATGACATCTAAGTAACTTCGGTAACATTTGTAACTTGTCCTCAATTTTCTCGCAACCCATGTTGTAGTATATAGTAGCTAGCCAGTTCATGATATGGTTAGTTTCAATATTTTGTCTTTTGAGTTAAGTTCATTGAACGCTGTTCAAGTATGTACTCGTTGGGAATCTGTGGTCCATGATGTTCTTCAACATTCCTATGAATGTAACGACTCATTGCAACAACAACATCGGATCGCTGATATGATGTGTATTTTTTGTAGTGTATGTACATGCTAACACGCTAAGAACTGCCATTTATGTCCAAATGTTTCCAGAGGTTCCCAAGTACTATAAATTAGTGAGAAAAAAAAGTTCACTGAAGTGGACATGGGAACTGTTTATTATATAATTTGAATAAAATATAATACTTTATTATCACCATAAAAAAAATTGACATTCCTATTTCGGCATATACATCATAATAATGATTTGGTTAGAAAAAAGCTGAAATGTCAAAAAAAATGTCAAAGAAATGAATGGTTAAATAATACAGTTACCATGAATTTTATAATGAGTTAACATTCATGTATCTACTCTGAAAGAAACTGTTCTCGTTTTTCACAGGCAGCAAGAAATGTAGTCAATTAATTCTATAAAGTTTTTCGTCATTGCTGCTCATTATAAATTTCTCTTCATCAGATGAGGAATTAAAAGCATGTAAATATTTGTAATATGTAAATGTGTGTAATATGTAAATCTGTCAGTGGAATATAAAGGCAATGGATAATTTCTGGCAGGCAATGCTTTGCGAGCGAGCAAATTTAAGATGGCGCCATGCACGATCGTGTGCCACTGCTGATCAAAATGATATGAAACACTATTCAAAGTTGAACTATTCTCAGCCAGAAAATGATTGCCTTATTCAACAACATTCTGAAAATGTTTGTATACAGGACCTGTGGTCTAGCCTAAGTTTGTCAGTGGAGCTTGGTATCATATGCATGGTACAAAGCTGCTATATTTATGAGCAATGAAACCATATCTAAAACTAAAAAAAAATGGTTGTTGTGACTTGAGAATAACTCCCATAATAATTTGGAAAGTAGCCTAGCGAAGTAGTGGTACTGGTAGTCAAAGGTTTCTGGTTCATGTACATGTATAGGGAAAACCTTATTTTGCAGTGAATATTTAA